TTTTTTTTATTGTCTACTATGAATTTGACGAAAATATTGGTGGTTCAATGCAACAACTTAACAGGTATTATACAACATATATTTATTTCGTATTTCACAAATAATGAAAATATATTTGTTTAACTATTTTTTCAGTTCATTAAAATCTCAAATGCCAACCAGTTATGCTCCATATTTTAGTATTCAATAATACATTTTTTATAAATATAGGTTTTTCGAATTTACTAATTATCTTTTAATAGATAAATAAATATTTTTTATTTGTACATTTCACATTTTTTTCATGCATATTTTGACTTATTTGGCTCCTATAACTTCCGAACCCTATTTATAGCTATAATAACTTATTTTATTTTATGTTTCTTCATTGATGAATTATCTTAAATTTATTAAACATAAAAATTTGCACATTTATGTATATTGTTTAACATGTAATATACTTAATTTTTTATGTTATTTAATAAGAGTCATTATTTAAGAAGTTAAGTTAATTAGTAAATATTGTTATTAATGTTCTGTATTTATCTTTAAAACGTTAAATAAGTGTATTTACTGTATTTAAAAAAAAAAAAAAATAAAAATAATTAGTCTTTTAAAATTGTCTGGTAAAAAAAAAATTAATTTCTATTAGAAATGCATTATGTAGAAAATGTAATATTTATTTGATATATCTATAAATAATTGATAAAAACAATAAATAAATGATTTACATTTTTTAAATCTAAATAATATTACCTTATAGTTGTTTATTTTACTGTTATTAATTAAGTTATTAATCTAGTTTATTAATTATTTTATTTTAAGTAATAATTTTTTATAAAACAAAAACGTTTTTTCTTATTCACTCTCTCTTTTTCTTACTGTTATTGTTACAAATTGTTGTGCACATAGTAATAAATAAATTATTATCGATTTATATTTTTCATTTTATAGGTATTCCTATTCAAGATAGGGTTTTTTTTTATTTACAAACAGTGGGAATTATACCTCGCTTGATGGTTCATGAAAGAAATCAAATGTTTATAACAGTTGAAAGTCGTCTTAAAACGTTTGACACATTATATATAAAATTAAGTGTGAATCTAATTACTCTCTGTGAAGCTGGATTCTTTTATGAAGGTATATTATGAATTTTGTTTATCAAATCTTAAGACCGATATAAAATTATACTTTTCTTAATTAGGTCCAAGTGATAAAGATAGAGTAAAATGTTTTTGCTGTGAATTAATACTTAACATTTCGGAAATGAATTTTGATGCATGGAAAATTCACGCCTTAGGTAAACCAGATTGCCTTTTTTTACTATTAACTAAGGGGAAAGATTTTGTCCGTCAAACACTTGGAAGATATCACCCTATACCAAAAATAAGCCATGATGTATGTAAATTTTTTTCAAAGTTTTTATAAAACTTATATTAACTATTTTTATTATTCAACAGTACTTTATTAAATTATTAACTTATCAAGTATCTGAGGAGGACGGTGCTGTTTATCCTCTAGTTATACGGAAGATCAAAAATATGGATAGGTAAGTTATACTCTACAGCTTATAATTTATATGAATGGAAAATCATAATGTTATATTAACAATATTAATATTTTAGAAATAACAATTATTTTGATATAAGTATTTGTTTATTTATTATAACCTTATTATAAAATTCAAGTTTATAGTTAAATATGAAAAAAATTATAACCAATAATTATTGAATACTTTAAAAAACTACATTTTTTCGGTGTTGGTCTAATATTACTTATATTATATATTACTTAATATTACTAATATTACTCCTAATAATACAATAGTAATTACTTCTAAATTAATTATTAAATTATTCTCTTACACATAGAAGTGTAGAAAAAACTTAACAATATAAATTATAACATTCTTTTCATCCCTACAGATTACGTGATTTAAAACCCAGAAGTCAATTACAAGAAAATTCTGGACCAGATTCTCTTTTATGCAAAATTTGTTTTAAAGAAAAATTAGAAGTGCTTTCCATTTCGTGCGGACATGTATTTGCGTGTATTCAGTGTGTAGTTGCTGTTCCTGATTGTGCAGTATGCAGACATTTATTTACTGTGCTTATAAGAATATATTTAGATTTTGATAGAGTCGTTGAAAAAAAAAGTCCTCTCAAACATCCTTTCACTTCTGCTGCAGTTCGAATTGATGGAGCCTTTAATCCAGTGCTTTGTCAAGTTTGTCAAAAATTGCCAGTGCAAGTAGCAATAGCTCCTTGTAGACATGCATATGCATGTTTTGAATGCGCTATAGACTCTAAAATATGTTTAATATGTTCTACTAAGGCTTTTGCGTTTATTTATTTATACCTATAAGATTTTAAGAATATTGGACTTGATGATTTCAAGTTTTTTTTTTACTTTATTTACTTATAGTTTTAACAATATTTAATCTTAGTATTTATATGGTAACTTTCTGCATTGAGTAGAAGTTATTATTATAGTTTATGTATGTATTCATTATTATCTTATATTAATTGGTACAAATCTAAGTTAACATTAAAGTTTATTAATAATTTAGTCTTTGTAATTAGAAATATATAAACATATTTAGTGTAATTATCATCATACTACGATTGTATGTGTTATGAATTAGATGCGTTTAATTTAATTTAATACATTATTTTAAAATGAATAAATAACATGGCATAACACAGACATAATACAAGTTCATGATAAAACTAACATAACCTTAAATGTAACAATCTTCTCCTGTAGAATAATTAATATTTATAAATCTAATCTGTTAGGTTTTTTCCTTGTTCTTGTTAAACACCTCAGCTCCAGCAAAGGTTCTTCCTCCTCTTAAATTTGTACATCACTTGATTGTTTATCCTCTGTAGGTTCTTCAGTTTGAGATGATACAAATTGTTCATCTTGTTCCAATTTGGCCATGTCCTCTTTTAAAATTGATTTATGAGGTTTTTCCACATTTTCCAAATTCACTAGCGTTGCTCTTATTTGGTCTGCATGCCGTTCCCATAACTGACCTTCCACTCTGATGTAGTAATGCCATGCTCCAACTTTCTCTGTAATGGTTCCAACAACAAAGTTTCAAGACTGTGCAAGTTAATGATTTTTTTTAATTCAGTTAAGTTAATTTACACTAATTATAAAGAGTTAAAAGTTAAAAGTTAATTTTATTTGTAAGTTAACTCACTTATATTGAAAGTTAATACACATATTTTTTTAGCTTTTTATTAAGTCACAAAAAAGTTAATTTTGTTTATACAACTCTAGAATAATTTTTTACAAGCCCAAAACTAATTTGTACTTTACGACTATAGTGTTTATCATACTTCATAAAAATACAGTATTTCCATACAGCGTATTGTATTTCATTGAAGTTTTCATTTTTAAAAAATAACAGTAGTGACTTATCTTATAACTTTGTAAGTTATAAGTTATAAATAATTTATTTATACCTAATAGCCTAAAAATAATTAATTAATATTATTTATGTGAGTGCGTTTGTAACATAGTATTATTAGTATTACTGATTGTTTAATAATCGCAAAATATTTTATTAAACATATACTTAATTATTTAATACTTAGTAAAATACTAAAATATTAAAATCAGTTTAATAGCTTTAGTTTATATAATTCAATAATTATATATTTATAGTTTATACCCATTACATACAAACTAACTTAAAATTATATAAGAAATGAAAATATACTAAGTTGTAACTGTTGGATAATATTTTAACATATACATTTATATATATATATAATGCTACTATCAGGATTTAATCTTTGTAACCTTCTGGTCTAGTAAATAAAACAAGACTCAAATGTGTTTCTAAAACAATTAAAGTTTATTTATTAATTATATTAATTATTATACATTATAATTCATGATTTACTCACCTAAAACAATTAAAGAAACAACATTTAAAGCCCTTATTTCTATAGTTTTTACAAAATTAAATAAAATGATTTATATATATAGGTTTATAAGTATTAACTTAATACTATTAAGTATTATAATTACTTCATACAAATAGAAACAAGAATTAAAAAATGATTGATTTTGATATATATGAGGTTTTATCTGTCAACAAATCAAAAGTCAGACAAAATATAATGTATGTCAAACTACTTGTTAAGCATGATATTGATTCAGATGATAATTCAATAAAACAATTTGTTTCATTTTAAAGAATATAATGTGACATTCCATTTTAGTGATTACAGAACTCAAATCATGATAATGCTATTTCAATATTTCACTAATATACATTAATGCGATCAAATACAGTTTGTCACACGATTTAGAAGTAAGTGTTTAGAAAAATAACTTGTCTAAATGAATAAAAACATAAATACTTACATGACAATGCAAGAAGTACAGATTACATTTTATTATATTTAAAAAATAATAATCAGATTAAATCCAAGACAATAAAAAAAAATTAATTAATTCATTATTTGTTTATATATGTATAAATGTTAAGTATACCTACTATTTCTTTGAAGATAATCAAATTTGAAGTACCTACGAACTTAAGCCCGATATACTGTATACAATACGATCCGTGGAAGAAAAATAATAATAATTTACAGTCTACAAGTACATAATTTACACAGACAACGACACCACAGGATAATATGATACATCCAAAGAGGATTCAGAGCAAAATTCTTCGACCAATTAGATCGCTCATAAATCAAGCATATCTTATCACTGCCTTATCATGCACCCTTTTAGTTTTTAAGTACCTATGAAAAATTAATGGTGGATATTAGGTTAATGAAATCAAATGATTATTCAATTGAGGATTGTACTGCTACCAAAAAGAAAGTTGATTCACTCCAGGATATTGCACGAGCAAATAAAAGAAATCTGATTGTTATTAACAATTATGAACCCCCAAATAAAAGAAATGAGAAAAAATTTTGATTTGTAACAAAAATAAAATCATCGTCATTCGGAACTTCAGTATATAACCACTGAACATGAGTGAAAAGAAATTAAACAAATTTTTAAAACTCCTCCAGCCGCCTGCGTTGAACGAAAAAGTATTAAACAATCATAAAACTAATGACCATTCATACTAAACTAGTAATTCTTTACCAAATATAGGAAAATACATTGAATTTCCTACTATTTCTTATTATTATTAGTTCATAAGTGTTATTAGTTTATTGTTTAAAATATTAATTAAAGACAAACAGGAAAAAAAAATGATTATTTAGTTGATTGTATTAAGATTAATCATTATAAAATACCCATTATAGAAGTAATATTAGATATATATTTTTTAATTTGAATCGATCTTTTTCAATCTCTGTACTATGTTTATTTAAAAGTTATTATTAATCAGGTTTTGTTCAGATAAAATAAATACAACTATATGAAAATGTATAGTTCATACTTGAAAACTAAAAGCGCGCGAGATAAAACGGTGATAAGATATGTTTGATTTATGAGCAATGTGATTGGTTGATGAATTTTGCTCCGGATCGTCTTGTGATAATGTATTATCTTGTAGCCGCATCACAGGCGTCACATCCACTGATTGTTTTTCATTTCTCGTAATCGATATTGGTACACACACAATCTTATATTATTCCATGACGATACCGTTGTCGTTCCACGTCATCGGTACAGCCAAACGCTGCTGGATCGCCGAAACACGTTCTATCGAATACAGACTATTGTGTGCACTGTTGGTGTGAGTTGTCTTCGGGAGTCCGTCGTGCTGTTGACGTTGGTCATTTCGTCGTCATTCTTCAACGCTACCGATCATCGTGCCTTGCTAACGCAGTTAGTCCGACGCTGTTTATTATATTTGCGTTTCAGCCATGGCATGCACACCGTCGACTTCAAACGAATGTATGAGTGATGATTTTAATCGATCGGTAAGACACTTAATTTATTTCAAATCGTTATGTCATTAATATTTTTTGAATTGTTTGTAAATCGTGTGCTGATCAGCTTGTGCAAACGCGATAACATTTATATGTTATTAAATTCATCAATTTATAGCAAATCGATTGGTTGATACTGCTGTGGTTCTATTGTTCCCTTACTACAGTAAGGCTGGGTGCACATTGAGATGTGAGCGACCCAGTGCAGCGTAGTGTAATGCACCATGCACAAACAATATTATATAATGAATTTATAACATAAAATAATTAAGGAAATATCTATGCATATTAAATGTCTTATTGTCCTTTGACATATCAGGAAAAAAATGGATTATTTAGTTGATTGCATTAAGATTACTTTTCTATTTCTAGCTTTATAGTAGGTATGACTAAACGTAGTCTCCTTAATAGACAACCATTTTTTATTGTTAGTTCTCCATTTAAATTTCTAGAGTCATCACATTGGAGTTTACCATTACTTAGTAAGTCGTTATACACTGTTAGGTTAGGTATTAGTAAATACAATAAATACAATTTCAACCTAACAATGACTAACACAGTTTTGTTCTTTTGGTGTGCGACCGACCTAAGTAACCCTAGGTCAAAGATACAATGATTAAAAAAATACAAAAAAATTATTATGTGCTAATCTGTTGAAAGCATTACAAAATGTATGTGTCTTCCTTTAGATGGTTTTTTCATCGTTAGAAAGTGTTTTCATTGGATTTACAAAGTAACCGGTGTATTAAAATTAAAAATATATCATATCAAATTTTGTATAGATTTTAGCAAAATTGTTCACAGTTGACCATTATTTATAATATTTTTATGAATACATATTTGTATATGTATAAGTGCATTTGATTTCTAAGTATGTAATTGTTATAATTTTTGTTTTAATTTATTTTATAATGAATGAAAAATATTGATTTCCAAAAATTATTTTTTCAGCTAGCTGATCTGATTAATCTTATGGAAAGATTTACCGATTACAAACTTTACAAAGATCGATTGAAAACATTTATCAATGTTTTGACTTCAAGATATATTGACGGCGAGAGAATGTCAAGAGCAGGATTATATTTTATTGGCCCGTATAATCGGGTACAATGTGCATACTGTTTAAAAAGATTTGTAGGATGGGTGGTAGATAATCCTGATCCAGATGATTTTCATAAAGAATTATCACCTAACTGTGAATATTACACAAATCCTGAATGTAAGTTACTTATGATTAAGGTTCGGAAGTTATAGGCATTGCATATTGCTCTGTATGCTCTCGATTTATAGCAGACCAAGTTAGAAATCCGAGCTATACAATGTAGAGTTTAAAAATTGAAAATTAAAAATGCATATTATATATTTTTTTTATTGTCTACTATGAATTTGACGAAAATATTGGTGGTTCAATGCAACAACTTAACAGGTATTATACAACATATATTTATTTCGTATTTCACAAATAATGAAAATATATTTGTTTAACTATTTTTT